TCACGGTCGGGAGGAAAACCCGATAACTCTTCCGGAAAAAACTCTGGAAACTCCCTAATTGTAGGGATATCCTACAATCTCACTTCCAGAACTCTAGTGTCTATTACATTAGCTAGAAAAGCTACGCATCCTTTTGACATCATTTTTGTTGTTGTCATGGCTGATATCACATTGGAGGGTGACTTCACTTTATCACCAATCACTATAATCTCGGTGCCTTTCGTATCCTTTAAAAATAGTCATTTCTGGTGACAATCTACCCATCCAGGACGTGGAGACAACCAATCCATGCCCAAAATGATTTCAAACTCATCAAAGGGTAACTCTATTAAGTTTACCAAGAAGACAACCTCATGAATCCTAATTGGACACTTTCTACACACCCGTTTTACACTTGCACTATGACCCATATGGTTTACCACTACCATTTCACAACAAATTTGTTCTAAGGGAATTCCCCTAGTTCTAACCAACTTTTTACTAATATAAGAGTGCGTAGAAACTGGGTCAACTATAACAAAAACAGGCTTATCAAATAGGTGAAATGTACCTGTTATGATCTCCAGATTATCCCTGTCTTCACAAGTCTTTATATTATAAACTCGGGCCACTCCCCGAGTCTATTATCTTTAACTAGACTCATGTTGACCTCTTGAACTCCCTCTTCCTCTATTTCTACTTGGTGAAGCTACCGATCTTTCAGTTTGTACTAGTATATCCCTAGACTTTTACGGACAATTCCGAGTATAATGACCCGCTTCGCCACAAATAAAACAAGTGACAGAAAGTAGTCTACATATTCCCCGATGAAATCTAACATATATTTGACATTGATTACTCCTTTCTTCAAAAGCTCTATCGAAGCTCGTAGTAAAAGAATGGGACTGCTTAGACTTTTTTGCAGATGCAACATCCGTTCTATCAGTATATCGGGAACCCGAGCCTTTCCCTCTCTTAGCATGAGATGTAGATGAAAACATCAAAATTTTTTTCCTATCTGCACACTCTGCTCTACTTCCAATGTTTTCTCTTGAGCTCTTTCAATCGCCTTAGCTCTATTTATCACTTCCTGTAAACAAGGCAAATTCAAGGCCAACATCATCTCTTTCAACTTTGGCCTTAGTCCCTCAATAAACCAATCCCAGAGAGATTTGTCATTAGGGACCACTTCAATAGCGTAACAACTAAGCTTGTTGTATTCAACTTCATTTTCATGCACCACTCGATCTCCTTGTTTTAAATTGAGAAACTTCAACTACATTGATCTCATGAACTGCTGCCCAATATACTTATTTTTAAACTCCTCTTGAAAGAACTTCCAGTTCACTTGCTGGGGCAATGCATACATTTTCGTGTTTGCCCATCATATCTGAGCCGATCCTCTAAGTAACGATACAGATCCACTTAACTTCTTATGATCGATCGGAGCACTGAAGGCTTTCCAACATCATCATCACATCGTTTAACCATAAGTATGCATCTATTGGACTTTCACTTTCTTCTCCTATGAGCTCAAGAGCTACCAAACTTCTTAACTCCTTCGGAATTAGCATTCGCAGTACTGGAGGAGCAAGGGGAGGCGGAGGAGGTTGAAACCTTGTCAAAAGAGCATCAAGAGCTTACATAAAAGCTCCAAACTATGGCAAGGCATACCTTGGGGTGCCCGTGCACTAGCGTTGTCCAACGAAATCAAATGTTCATTATTCTCTTTATAACTTTCACTACCCGATTCGACTATACTCTCTTGACCATCTGCTCTTCTCGAATTCATAGAATCTGACATCTATCATCATATTCATAAAATAGTAATTACGTTAGTAAGGAGAGACATCTTTTATATCCATTCTATATCCTATCAGTAGCCTTGACATCTTAGTGGCATGTAAACTCTTTTTATATTAAAAAAATTACACTTGATTCAGATGAGAATCGACTAAACCTATAGCTCTTATACTAATAAATGTAACACCCATATCCCGTATACCTTTACGTATACGAGCTACATTGTCACATCACTTTTAAAATAGTTTACCATTTGAAAATCCATAAAATTTTGTTTCATTTTATAAACCATTACCATTTATGTATAATTAAAGCATAATTTAACTTACATTTACAAATAAAAAGAGATGTTCCACATATCACCGTTTTACAGTAGTTTAATTCAAAAGTTTTACAGAGCGTTTTAATAAATCTATTACATGCCAACTAAAATATACCAAAAGTATAAAGGTATGTCATACTGTTAATGATTAGGTGACTCTGACTTGATGTCCAGTGATCTCCTTACTCAGTTGGTATTCAACCTACGCGTGAAATGAAGACATGTTAAGTATTATTTAGTGAGGCATACTTAATCATAAGCAACTTATAAACATACATATAGAGTAACAATTCTAATATTAGGTAACTCTTTACAATTAATTGTAAACCTTATAACTTTGCACCGTTGGCGCTACTATGGACATTTACCCACTTTCTATTCATGTTCATTTATTAGAATGCACAAGTAGTGCCTATATGGAAATGCATCAACTCATGATGAATTCCGTGGGTTTCACACACAGTGCCTGTACGGTGATTCATCAACTCATGATGAATTCTGTGGATTTGCACACAAAGTGCTTGTACGGTGATTCATCAACCCATGATGAATTCTGTGGATTGCACATATAGTGCCTGTACGGTAATTCATCAACTCATGATGAATTCCGTGGATTGCACATATAGTACATGTACGGTAATTCATCAACTCATGATGAATTCTGTGTATTTGCACACAAAGTGTCTGTATGGTGATTCATCAACTCATGATGAATTCCATTGATTGCACATATAGTGCATGTAGTACACATAGTATTGATATATCAATGCAATATGTATATACTGATAGTATTTATATTGTTCTTAAGGTGTCAATAACACAGTTAAGAGAAGTATCAATAATATACTGATAGTATCGATGCTACCTATTGTTTTCCAAAGTGATTAAATTTTAGCAAGAAAAATTGGTACTGATACTCAAAGAGTATCAATACTACTTTACACAATAGTATTGATACCATGAAACCCTAGTGTTGATACTGCTTAGGCTAACTGTCTTTAACGACTACTTTATTTAAATATTACAAAGGTAATACCGATAGTCCTAGCCCGAGTATTGATGCTACATGTTTTGTGATGTACATGTGCCCACAGACTACATAATGATGCTTACTTGTTATGGAATGCTTGATGCATCTATATTGTTCATGACTATACATGTTGGCATGCTCATATTATGGATGCATATAGTATAGTAAAGTTATTTATGTGGAACTAAGTTTGTTATCTCATTATTTAGAATGTGTTTTCGTTTGTAGGTTCTTAGGCAGACGTTCAAGAAGATTATCGTCAAGTACAATATTTCATATTGATTGAGCTATTAGAGTACATCTTAAGTATTATTAGTGGACATGTATTATTCATTAACCTTATGTGTATTTTTGTCATAACTCTACTTTGATATGCTTACTACTATTTTGGAATGTATTATTGGGAGCTCCTTTTGTAAAACTCTATATATTTATGTTGTAGACTTACGCATTTATTAATGACTATTGTGGGTATGGTTATTCAGATTGGATTATCGATTTAGAAAAATGATTAGTCACATTGGTGGTTCTATGTTACACTTTATTTCTCCTATTTTTGGTTGGATCATATTAAGGTGTTATAGTTAGGCTATCGATGGTCAGGGTTGGGAGGGTGAGACTGTCGTGAGGTTGAGTAGATGAGGTTGTCCATACTACAACCCTATCGATGAGTCATTATTCATTAATTGGTGAGTAAGGGAGGGTTAAGAATTGTAATTTTGGGTTTAAGATCCAATGAATAGGTTAGGGTATGATTTGGGGGTTTAGGGTTTAGGTTTAAATTTGAAGGATATAATTTAAGGTTTTTAAATTTATTTATTTATATTATATTCTTACATGGAATTAAAATATTAATAAAATATGCCACATCGTGTGAAGATAATGATAAAATAATTCATGTCATCATAGAATGATTAAAATATGAGTAATTTGAAAGTTTAATGATTAAATTAAAAAAGTTTAAAATTTTAGTGACTATTATAAGAGAGAAGATTGAGTGATGAATGGTGTAGTTTACCCTAATAGATATAATTAATTTAGGGAAAATATATTATATTAGTTTTGCCTTTCCATTTAAATCAATAAAATATTCTCATTTTCTAACCAAGTGTGCCACATATGTCAAAAGCACATCTAATTTATTAAATAATTTAAAAAATACTATAATTTTTATAAAAAAAAACTAGATTTCTATCACTAGATAAATAAAAGTTTCTCTCCCGTTATGACTAATGACTTTGATTATTCTTCAATAAGAAGAGGAGGCCCTTACTTTCCATGTTGTCATAAAGTGGCTAATATATGAGTAATTTAAAAGTTGAGTTATTAAATTAAAATTTTTAAAATTCAATGACTAAAATGGGAATGAAAAGATTTTTGTGATCAATGGTGTACTTTACCCTAATAGATATAACTAATATCGGACAAAATAATCTATATTTAAATCGATAAATATTCTCATTTTCTAACCCAATGTGTCACATAGTTCAAAAGTGCATCTAATATATTAAAATAACTGAAGAAATAATATTATTTTTGTAAAAATGTCCGATTTCTATCACAAAATGAATAAAAGCTTGTCACATGATACTCGTGGTTTTAATTGTCTTTTAGTGTAATAATTTTTAGCTTGGAAAAACGAAAAAGAATATAAACTTTATTGTCATAAAAATATCAACAATCAACACTTTAAGAGAAGAATTAAACATATAAATTTCTAAAGATGAAAATAAATTATTAATGAAAATACAAAAAAATCTAAAATATATAAACTCTGATTTCTGAAATGACAAGGATAAATGACCAACTGCTAAGCAATGACCAATCATACCTAGGATATGGAGATCCTTTGAAGTGTTTTTTTTCCCATATTTTCTCCAAGAATGATTATATTCCGGAGGAATATCAGATTGTTTGTTGGTTACAAATGATGGAACTCTAATAGTTTTCTTTATTCCTAGTTTCCTGCAGATATAAGAAACCAAGAAATGAGCCAATAAAAAATAAAGAAACTGGACAAATTTTTCCTTGTAGATTTCAGACTTTTAGACAACTTAACAGGATTTACCTTCTCTTTGAACAATGGCATCCCCAGGTTGAGGCTGCACATTTTGTACTAGCTTCTTCACTCTCCATCCCAACCTCTCTTTGAAGGAAACATACAAGGCTCATCTTGAGTGAACAAATTTCAGATTTTATGTAGTCATTCAATACTGTAATCAGTTTTCTGTCACCAAGACTCGATAACGTACAGTTCAGGGGATACGGTCAATTTATGAAATACCCGACATTTTCGTATTAATATGTTAATGAAATAGAATTATACTTGTGGGCCATGTGAAAATCACAGAAGACGACACACACAACACAAGGATTCAAGGTTTTAGGTGAAGAATATGGGCATTTTTCCAGTTGCCTATGAATCTAATCTACTAAAGCTATTTTTATATTTTAATATTGTATTGTTTGGTTGATTTTTTTGTATATATTATATACAATACAAAAAGGTATGGATATTGATCCAACTCATCTCATTAATATTTGTAGTACAATCCTTCAGTCGATTTCGCTTCATTTAGTTCAGTTTTAATTTCGGTTTATAAAATTTCAATTAAATTCAAATTAATAAGGAGTTCTTATGTCACGTTACCGAGGGCCTCGTTTCAAAAAATACGCCGTATGGGGGCTTTACCGGGGCTAACTAGTAAAAGGCCTAGAGCCGGAAGCGATCTTAGAAATTAATCGCGCACTGGTAAAAAATCTCAATACCGTATTCGTTTAGAAAAATACAAAAATTACGTTTTCATTATGGCCTTACAGAACGACAATTACTTAAATATGTTCGTATTGCCAGTAAAGCCAAAGGGTCGCTAACCAATCAACATTCTCGCTCAAGCAACTTGAACCATCGGTATTTATCCTTTGGGAGACATGATTCAACCATGCCTTTTCGTAAAGGTTGTTCATTAGTGGCTTTGCTTCCACTCCTCATTATTTCTTGCCAAAGAAAAATAATATAAGGAACTCATTCAGTGACCTCAGTGGTCAAAGGAAATGGTGTTTTTTCAAGAAATCCTGGATTCAAGCAGTTGTGTCTGTAGAGTGTGCATTGTCAATGACTAACAAATATTATTAACAGATATTACTTTGTAATCACATCCAGACTATTCAAAAAAAAAATACCATAAGATGGACCAATCGTCCAATAAATATGTTGTTCATCTATTAGGCAAGGCTGTAGATTTCATCTCGTGTATCATTCTCTCAATTCTATTCTCATATTTTGATTGCTGGAAGAGCTGAAGTGCCATACTAAATATCCCCTCTAAATCAACGAATGAGCTTAAAGATTTTTGCAGTTAAACAGATGTCGAACTAAACAACAAGTTTATGTTAAAATATGACCAAGTTTCCAACGTCAACTTGAAAATCATCTAGAAGTTTTTCCTGCAACATAATTGAGTCTTGACCGTCTGCTTCTCACCGGTTTGCACCAGCTCTCTCCATTGGCCATCTTAGCTCTCATTTTCTTGTACTCCCTTGATCTTAGAACTCCCTCTAGAATGTTTATATCTTCACGGATTTCATGTCTAAAAGGAGACGCGAGGCCCAGAAGTATGTCCTGGAAATCCTTCAGTCTCCTTCCTCTTCTCAACTTGATACCAAAATCTTTCGTCAGCGTGCACTTGCTTTGAACAGATTTGATGATACAGAATAATCATCTGCAATGCTTTCTGCCAGTTCCAAAGTCATTAACTCGAATGAATCATAGGAACATTGTGGCCACTCCTTGGATGCCGTCTGATTTGAAGATTCCTGATAGCATGCTGAGTTCTTCGAGGTGAAATGCATAAGTGATTCCGCTGCTATTTGGATCAAATTATCCACTTCAGCCAATTCTTCTCAGTTATCATAACATTCATGTTTTATTTCGTTACTACCGGAAGATCTTTGATCCTGCTCACCTGATAGAGTTTCTGCAACTTTAGATCTCCCATCAGTTCCCGAAAATTGATAAGAATCAGCAAGATTTGAATTACAGGGTTTAATTCCTGATTCCATAGTCCTTACAGGACTAGACTCATCATCTGAAATGCAGCTAGACTTCTCTGATGGAGAAAACCCGTCGGGAAGTTCATCTTCAATGGTATTTCGGATTTTATCAGAGCATAATACATTATCTGCTTCTCCAGTCTTCTCACAACCCGACTGTATAGAAATTACACATTCAGGCTCCAGACCAGGAGCATGACCACTTTGTAGTTTCAGCATATGTTCATCCCTTCCATTCCTTTGTGTTCCCTCCGTGGCCGCCACTCTCCTCGGAAATGTTTATTTGGGGCCTGTATTCAAATGCGGGACTAATAAGACTCGTTTCACATTCATTCCTTCCACTGTTAACAGAACTTCTGTCTTCGTTATTGGAATTAATCAAAGGGTAGACCAGTATGGCACCAACTGAGTGACAAGACGAATCATCAAACTGAACTGCATTAAGGTCCACATATCCCACTCCACAGGAAGTGAACTGCTGCTTTCTGGTGAAAAGGTTTTCATGTGGCATATTTTCATTGTGTTTTAATCCTGCAAAGAGGAGAAATAAAGATATGATAAACACACACAAAAAAATGTTCTTGAAATGAACAAGAAACAAGAATAGAATCGGTACGACAATGCAGCTTCTAATGGTGAAGCAAATTACCAAATACCTTGAACAGAATAGCTCTGTTCTTGCCAGTTGTTATCCCCAACAAAGGAGCTAGTCAACGCCATCTTGTGAGATAAATATTTCTTCGTACATCCTGAAGAAATCGGAGTAGAATTTATCGTAATTTGTGAATCATGCTTCCCTCCAGAATAAGCATCTTCAGCAGTATCAAAAGTTGGATGTTTTTCATCCACATTTGCGGTCTTCTGTAGATTCTTCCAGATCAATGACAATTCCGGAGCAGGCATTAGTTTTCTTGTTATACCGACTTCTCTCTTCATCTTCCTTGTTCCCTTTGGCCACACCAAGGCTTAGAGAAAGCCTCAAATCCAGGGGATCCGAAAAAAGACCACCATGGAGAGAATTTACAGCTATGCTTTCTTTTAAGTGATTCCCAACCTTCACTTTATTTGGAAGATTATCATCGACAAGACTCATATACTGATTAGGCAGACGCTGAAGATCGAAAGGACTTGACTGAAATTTATAGCTATTGCCCTGCCACCCTTCTAACAACTCCAGACTAGAAGACACTCTCGAGTCCAACTGAACAAAATGTCAGATAAAAGGTTAGATCAGTTAACCCATCCCGTGCAAACGAACACAGACGCTTACCAAAAGATGAAATTCATGATAATGCATGAAAAGAAAATGAACTTTCAAGTAGATTTGTCTTAAGATAAAAATAGTTTTCACAGAGTCTTCATGATTGCACCACATCATATTCCCAACCTTCAAAAGTGTTGGGGAAATCGGGTTATTTCCCACACGAACGTAGTTTCAAAATTGACCTAAAATGTCAAGATCAAAACCACCAAAGGTTGCACAGTGGATAAATCTGTCAAACTATTAGATATTGAAACACAATGGAAAAACCAAATAAAAAACAATAAAGGAGAGAACACACCAAATTTACGAGGTTCAACGAGAATATCGTCTACTCATCGGGCACCACACCGGATGATAACTTCACTATATCGCCAATATTAAAACAAATGGAATTCTTTAGAATTCCCAAAGTGGGAGAATGAAGAATACAAGAGGAAGAGAGAACTTGTTTGTTTTGGATGATTTCTAATGAAATACTTAGGCCTATTTATAGTTGAGTTTTAAGGACTAAACTTATAAATAACCTAATATTTTAGGGATCAAACATGAAAAATAAGTTGGCCACCTACCAAAGAATTTTTCAATGTGTACAAGTTAGCAACCAAATATGAAATTCCCATGTTCAAAGTTTGGCCACCAACCAAGATGAAATTTTCAACTTGTCAACTTAATTTCAAGCCAAATCTAACAAATCTCCACCTTGGCTTGAAATTACCAAGCCTACTCAACTTCTTCAACTCCCCAAATTTGTAGTGCCTCTAATTGCACTCACAAGCGTCGTACACCCGAAGGTGTTCATACTTTTAGGATGTTAATCAAGTTCAAACAATGATTGAACTTGATTACTGTTACCACCTTGGTCATCATATCTGCAGGATTTTCTGATGTCGTAATTTTCTGAAGTAGAATCTTTCCTTCTTCAAAGATCTCCCGCACAAAGTGATACCTCACATCGATATGCTTAGTCCTTGAATGGTAGACTTGATTTTTCACTAAGTGAATAGCGCTCTGACTGTCACAATAGAGACTAATGTGACTTTGAACAACTCTCAAGTCTTCCATCAGCCTGTTAAGTCAAATTACTTCCTTTACAGCCTCTGAAACTGCCATGTATTCTACCTCTGTAGTAGACAAGGTCACCGTAGATTGAAATGTAGACTTCCAACTTACTGGGGCTTTAGCAAGAGTAAACAAATACCAGTAGTTGATCGACACTTATTCAAATCACCAGCATAATCGGAATTAGTATATCCAACCACACACTAACCAAGTGCTTCATCCTGTTCAAAAACTAAACCAACATCCACGGTTTGTTGGAGATACCGTAGAATCCATTTCAAAGCTTGCCAATGTCCTTCTCCAGGATCATGCATGTACCTGCTCACAACTCCAACTGCTTGTGAAATGTCAGGACGCGTACACACCATTGCATATATCAAGCTCACAACTGCATTATCATATGGAACTTTTTCCATATACTCTCGTTCTTTGTTAGTTTTAGGAGATAATTGAGAACTAAGTTTCAAATGAGAAGCCAATGGGATACTTACATGTTTAGTATTTTTATTCATGCCAAAACATTGTAATGCCTTTCTCAAATATTACTTCTGTGTTAAACAAAGCTTCCCTCTCTGTCTATCTCTGCTTATCTCCATACCAAGAATCTTTTTGGCCTCACCAAGATCTTTCATTTCAAACTCTTGATTCAACTGAGCCTTTAATTTGTCTATCTCCTTTTGACTCTTCGAAGCGATCAACATATCGTCAACATACAAGAGAAGATAAATGAAAGATCAATCTTTGAGCTGTTGCAAATACACACAATGATCATATTTGCTTCTAGTGTACTTTTGCCTCCTCATAAAGCTATCAAATCGCTTGTACCACTACATCGAATATTGCTTCAATCCATATAGCGATTTGTTTAGCTTACAAACCCATTTCTCACAACCACTATCTTTGTATCCTTCTGGCTGAGTGATATAGATCTCCTCTTCTAAATCACCGTGCAAGAAAGTCGTCTTTACATCAAGTTGAGCTAGCTCCAAATTCAACTGTGCTACCAAGGCCAACAATATTCTAATGGAGGAATGCTTCACAACAGGAGAAAATACTTTATTGTAGTCGATTCCCTCCTTTTGAGCGTAGCCTTTAGCTACTAACCGTTCCTTGTAGCGAACATCTTTCTTGCTATGAGATCCATCTTTCTTGCTATAAGATCCCTCTTTCTTTGCAAATACCCACTTGCATCCAATTGCTCTTTTATCTTTCGGTAATTGAGCCAGTTTCCAAGTGTTATTCTTTTGGAGAGATTGTATTTCTTCATCCATGGCACTTTTCCACTTATCACTTTCCAAGCTTTGTATTGATTCTTGGTAAGTGATAGGGATATCATCATCAACAACTGGAAGAGCATAGGCCACCATATCAATAAATCGAGAAGGTCTACGAATTTCTCTTCTTGGCCTTGTAACTGCAAGTGGTTCTGGTGTCTCCAATGGTTCTTGGGTTTGAACCTCTTCATCTTCTGATTCTTCTATTGGAGTTGAAGAATCAGTTGCTTCAACTTCTGGGATCATCGTCTGCTGAAACTCCACCTGTTTTGGAGTATGCTCCACTTGCTGCAGAGTACTACTTGTTTGGACAGCTTCATTTGTTACCTTATTTACTAGGGAAGATTCATCAAAGGTAACATCTCTACTACAAATTATCTTCTTGGTGTCTAAGCACCAAAAGCGGAATCCCTTCACTCCATGGGTGATTCCCATAAAGAGAGCCTTTTTTTCTCTCGGATGAAGCTTGGATTCCTTCACATGATAATAAGCAGTGGATCCAAATACATGTAAGGAATCATAATCAGTAGAAGGTTTTCCAGACCATACCTCCAATGGTGTTTTACCTTCTATCGCTGATGATGGCAGACGATTGATGAGATGGCCAACATATGCCACAGCCTCAGCCCAAAATGCCTTGCCTAACCCAACATTAGACAACATACATCGAACTTTCTCCAATAATGTTCGATTCATACGCTCTGCCACCCCATTCTATTTTGGTGTATTTCTAACAGTGAAGTGTCGAACAATACCATACTAATGGCAAATGACAAAGAATGGTTCACTTTTATATTCCCCTCCATTGTCCGTCATAAGACATTTGATCTTTCTACCAGTCTGGTTCTCGATTATATTTTTCCATTTCAGGAAAATTCGAAGCACTTCATCTTTAGACTTCATCAGATACACCTGAACTCTTCTGGAAAAGTCATTTAAAAAAGTTACAAAATAATGGTTTCCTCCCAAAGATGATGTCTTTGAAGGACCCCATACATCTGATTGAATATAATCCACAATACCTTTTGTATTATGTATAGTGGTGCCAAACTTCACTCTCTTTTGCTTTCCCAGAACACAATGCTCGCAAAAGTTCAATTTGCAAGCCTTTGCACCTTTCAACAATCCTTTCTTTGCCAGGATTAGAAAGGATTTTTCTCCAGCATGTCCCAACCGCATATGCCACAATTGGGTTGCGTCCAAATCAGCACCTCCGGAAGCTGCTGCAACTGCTCCAATAATTGTACTACCTTGATAGTAATACAAATTATTTTTCCTGATGCCCTTTATTATCACAAGTGCGCCATATGTGACTTTTAAAACTCCATCTCTCATAGTGACTACTGAGCCTTTGGATTCCAAGGCTCCCAACGAGATGAGATTTTTCTTCAAACTGGGCACGTATCGGACATCCATCAGAACTCTGGTTGATCCATCTTGATTCTTCAATCGAATTGAACATATCCCAATAATTTTACAAGCATTGTTATTGCCCATATAAACAACTTCTGCATTTAGTTCTACTAAATCAGAGAACCATTCCCGATTAGGGGACATATGATAGGTGTAACCCAAATCTAATATCCATTCATCTGAATAAAATGTTGTTGGAGAAGCAACCAATGATATGTCAGAGTCATTTGCATAATGCTCTACAACACATGCATCTGGAGTAGCTTTTCCTTTCTTCTTCAACTTCGGACAATCTTTCTTCCAATGGCCTTTCTCATGACAAAAGACACATTCATCTTCTTACAGTCTGGACTTCGACTTTGATCTCCCTCTCCACTTTGGCTTTTGACTTTTTGAGCGACCTCTTGCCACCATGGCCTCCGCTGCTTCGTACTTGCTCTCCTTCTTGGTTTTCTTCCTGAGCTCATAACTATACAAAGCAACAGTTAGATCTTTAAGGGTAACATTATACTTACCATGAAGTAGCGTTGTCTCAAGGTGCTCAAATTCATCTGGAAGAGATGACAACAACATCAAGGCCAAATCTTCATCTTTGAAGGTTTCATCCATGCCCAATAAGTCTGCCACTAGCTCATTGAACGCAGTGATGTGTTCATTCATACTGGTGCCTGGTTGATAATCAAATTTGAGCAATCTTTTCTTCATGTAGAGACGATTCTGAGAGCTTTTCGTTAGGAATTTTTCCTCTAATGCTTTCCACATCTTACTTGCAGAAGTCTCGTTCTTGTAGCCATACTTCTGCTCCCTGGAAAGACAAGATCGAATCGTGCTGCACGCCAAACGATTGATTGTTCCACATTCTTTCTCCTCCATATATTCGGGCTTTTCTTCCTCAATGGCGATTTCTAGACCTTGTTGGAATAAAGCGCCTAACACCTCGCCTTGCCACATGCCAAAATGACCAAATCCATCGAACAACTCCACCGAGCAATTTGCATTTGACATCCTCCTCCTCACCGGTCCGGATGAAGAGCTTGATGTCTCAACTGATCCGTATTTTGGCATTTTAATTCCAACGAACAATATTCAATAGCACGAACTATATCTTTTCAGCAACGGAACCACCAGGATAACCTCAACCGAAGCTTTGATGCCAATTGTTGGGGAAATCGGGTTATTTCCCACATGAACGTAGTTTCAAAAATGACCTAAAATGTCAAGATCAAAACCACCAAAGGTTGCACAGCGGATAAATCTGTCAAACTATTTGATATTGAAACACAATGGAAAAACTGAATAAAAAACAATAAAGGAGAGAACACATCAAATTTACGAGGTTCGACGAGAATAGCGTCTACTCCTCGGGCACCACACCGGATGAACACTTCACTATATCGTCAATATTACAACAAATGGAATTTTTAGAATTCCCAAAGTGGGAGAATAAAGAATACAAGTGGAAGAGAGAACTTGTTTTATTTTTGGGATGATTTTTAATGAAATACTTAGGCCTATTTATAGTTGAGTTTTAATGACTAAACTTATAAATAACCTAATATTTTAGGGACCAAACATGAAAAATAAGTTGACCACCTACCAAAGAATTTTCCAATGTGTACAAGTTAGCCACCAAATATGAAATTCCCATGTTTAAAGTTTGATCACCAACCAAGATGAAATTTCCAATAAGTTGGCCGCCAACCAAGATGAAATTTCCAATTTGTCAACTTAATTTCAAGCCAAATCTAACAAAGTGTTAGATTTATGGCATTTTCTTTCTCATAACACCACTCAAGGATCAGGGAAACCGATAACTTATTATCAAAAACCACTCAAGTGTCCATGAAGGTCAACTTTTTTTTTCTGGGTGATTGAAACATTAATCCAAAAGCCAAAAGCAGCAGGAAGAAACATGCTACAAGAAGTATTTATGGGTAAAGCCTAACAAATTCAACTATCATGGCTTATTCCCCACTCTATACAAAGATATGTTATACAACATTGTTACAAAGATTCAGAACAACACAAAAACGAGCTTTAAAAGAAGCAACAGGATTAAAGGCAAACTTCTAACATCTCAGAAGACAGTAGTTGCTTCAATTACCATGGGAATTGAATTTGTTGGGAGTCCAGTTTCTCGGGGAAATGATTGTGCATTTGCTTTCAATGAATTGAACGTTTCAAGCTCCAGGGGTGTATGATCCTTCATTAGAGTCTTCTGAACTCGATATAAACGATGGAGCTCACATATCTGAAAAACCGAAATCTAGGGGGATAGATTCATGCTTCTTCCATGAAACAATTTGACTTGCACGGTCACATGTTCCACCTTATCATAAAAACAATGAGTTTAAATATAACTTTAAATCGCATGAACTCATGTAGTTTGGGAGCCCTAAAATCCACAAGAACAAAATTTTCAAGCCGAAACCGTAGACACCAAGATGGCTTATGGCTTGACCATGAAAGGGAAATTATTTATAGGCAACAGAAATATATAGCAAACTACAATTAAAAAAGACACAAAGGATACCATGTACGTGCTTTCTGAATATGATTTCCTAATCAAGCATTGTCTCCTTGAAGATATCTTTAAGAGAACTAGTGGCTTACAGTATTGAATTCATCTCAAAATCTCCTGCCAACATTTTTCCTCATAAAAACTGAACAAATACATTAACTGATACCAGATCTGGCATCCTAAATGACGGAGTCATGTAATGATGTTTTACATGGTCCTTTGCTCTCCATCTCTGCATAGTTTCCATAGAGAAAATATGATTATAAGACAGTGTAGTAACACCAATAATAAGCAACAATGATGTGAGATTTTGAAACTGACAGCCATTAAGGAAACCAATTTTGGACAGACACCTGTATAGAGATTCCCGTTTTAATAACTATCAGATAAGCGTTGAAGAAGTTTCATCGGTTTCATGACATGCAAGTAGGACAATTCCTTGCTGACAAATATTTCCAGTTAAACATCAACAAAGCTAAACAGAAATACCAAATGGATAACAGTCATTGCAAGATTTTTGATGCAATTCTATCTAGTTGCACATTTTGCTATAGAACGGTCTAAACTTTATAAATACTTCGAACTGTGTAAAAGTGCCGAAGCAGATTGAATGGTACTTGAAAATTTTAGGACTACTACAAACACAAGCCAATTAACCAAATAGTATCATGATGAAAACATAGATCATTTGGCCGTATGAGGCAGAGAGTTCGATGGCAGGACAAAAGATCTACGCGTTTAAATCAGAGAATATGTAACTAACTTTAGCATCACAAATAAAGATTACATTTTCTCAACCGTTTCGGATAGATCAGTACTGTTTGTCGGATATATTAACTCATATTATGTGAGGGGGAAAAGGTCTTTCATTCCTTCATCTAGAAATAACTGTTCTTCCTTCTCTAGAACGTGATTAAATAGTATTAAATTGCGACCACATGGTACTGTAACATTCCCATTGTAACGTTTTTTAAGGTCATTACGACACAACAAGCAGCATCCGCAACACAAAAATATAATTATTTTTATGAAATAAATTCCGTAGTAACAGCCACACCACAACACCGCAGTCGCAATTTAGTACTATTGAAACCATGCAGATGAATCATACTAAAATTAATGGGAACATTTTGAACAGAGGACATGGAAACCGCGTAGACTTCAGTTTTATAAGCATATAAAAAAAGAAAAACACTGATTGCGAATACATAGAAACAGAACCTCATGTTGAAATCCAATAATTGTAAGCATATCAACATTTAGGAAAACAAAGTCCACATCATAAAAGGCAAACCACGAATCATTAAAGAAAGAGGCAGAAAAAACAAACCAAGACATTAACACATAAACAACAAAGAAACAAAGCTCAAATTTTATCCAGAGATTCCCAGAACTATAAAGAGAAAGAACTTACCAGGAGACAAATAACCCAAACAACATTCCACCATGAGATACATAAAGATAAAAAAAATCTGAAACCGGATTTGGAAAAAACCGGTTTTTTTTAAACTGGATCGGATATTTTAAAACCGGATTGTATAACCGGTTTGGGAAAAAATTGGACGACCGGATTTTTTACCGGATTAAAAACCGGTTTGAAAATAACCGGATAAAAAACTGGTTTTTTATCCGGAAAAAAATCCGGTCTGGGGTTAAAAAATCCGGTCAGGGGTTTAAAAAATTGGATGACCGGATTTTTTACCGGATTAAAAACCGGTTTTTTTAAAAAATCGGATTTTTTCAAACCGAAACCGGTTACACCGGTTACATCATCCGGCCCTCCAAACCGGTTATGATCCGAACCGGTTTTTTGGCTTGGTGAAAAAACCGGATTAGTTTTTATCTGATCCGGATCGAATTTAAATCCTGCTATGTGCATCTCTACTACTCATACATATATTGTTATTCATCTCGCTTTCATCTTGTGTTGCAAAGATGAGGACTAGGGAACATTTACATACCTCTTACATCTTCTCTTTATTTACACATCATTTGATTATCTTACATATAGTTTGTATCATGTCTCATATTTTATTACATATGCCATGATCATCATTGTTACACCCCAAATTCTGGGCTAGTAGTTTTGGGTTTATCTAAGAGGTAAATGAACCCTATGAAATTTATATTTTAAGCCGTTGGGCCGAGTTGGATTTATTTGGGTTGATCCTGGGCCCAATTGGCCCTAAAAAGAATTTTTGGAATAGTGGAAGGATGGGAAGGACCAAGCGGGTATTTTTTCCCGTTTTATAAAGATGAATTCTTTATATTTCCTCCATCTTCTTTTTCTCCCTATGTCCTCCATTTTTTCTTCTCTTCCTCTTCAAATGTCAAGTTTACGGTAAGGTTTGGAGCCCTTTTAATTTTTCAATTCGTTCCTAATTTATTCAACATCATCATTTTAATGTTTCAAGCCATGGGTTTTTATAGTTAAAGAGAAAAGTTGAGAGAAATCATCCAAATCTTCAAGGAAAGGAGTTTGGTTAAGCAAGGGTTTCATTTCGGGATCCTAGCAACATGGTAGTGTATTTCTAATCCTTTGGAGTATTAATCTTTCATAAATTTCAAATATTTCTGAAGATTTGAGTATTTGAGAATTTTAGGGTTTATATTTGATATCAAGATCAAATTATGTTTTAGAAGTTAAAAAGACATTTTCATGCTACCTTAAAACCCTAAGCAACTTAATAAAGCTTCAAAATAAGATTGGAAACCAAACCAAATCATTTAGGATATTTTTTGGGTGTTTCTCGAGCCAAATAAACTATTTCATGGTTCGATTATCGATATTATGATGAACAATATTGATATTGGTTAAATTAGGGGGAAAATTAGGGAGTTTGGCTGGGAGTATCGATACTTCCATCGGAAGTATCCATATTGCCCCTGCACTATCGATATTCAGGGTGATAGTATCAATATCGAGGCCTCAATTTCGTAACAAAATGCATATTTTGTACCGATACTCATAGGGGTATCGATACTTGACCCTAGGATATCGATACTACTCACTTTGGATGGTTAATTTTGACCAGTTTAAGGCTCGTAAGAGGTAAGGATGATTCATAATAATAAGACTTAGTCCGTGAGGGTCATCAATGACCAAATATACTTAGAAGCACTCATAGGAGTGGGTTACAATAGATGTAACTAAATTAAGCGTATTACGTTGAAATATCTTCAGTCGAGGATGTAGACGAATTATTGAGGACGAGGATCATTACAGAGATTGTACCGGCAAGCGATACAAGGATCATGACAGAGATTATACCGGCAAGCGATACAAGGAATAAGTCATAATTAGTAATATTGGAAACCTTGAGCTTTGAAAACGTCAGTGAACCAAGAGGAGTAGGTTATCCTTTTAAGTTCAAAGGGGCATTAAAAGGGAGTTTGTTAAGAGGGAATATAGCATTACTACTCAAAATTGAACCCGAGTCTGGTATCGGGCTAGCAAATAGTACAACCAGTGATAAACAAACCCAATAATTGTCATAGAATCGTGAAGCGTGTAGAGATTTTCTCTTGGGGAAGAGTGACTAATATGCCCCTAAGTATTGATTGACCAAAATAGAGTCGCTTAATAACTAACAACAATAACACAATAATAAACCCCAACATAATGTTCTATATGAGATAATGATCAAGATAGCAACTAGCTAGAGAATAACTTCACTTTAGTGTGTAAAATCATACTAGGATATAGCTAGGTTACCTTAGTTGCCCTAGTGGGGAATTGTTTGTGTGTGACGCACTTCAGGAGCTAGCTAGGGCGTGAGGCCCTAACACTCGTGAAGAATGGGCTAGGGTGTCGATGTTGTGTGGCCTTCGGGCCTTAGATATGGATGTGTGGATGTATCAGTCCAATACCTCAGTTATCAGAAAAGCTTAGCTTGATGTCGTGTGATACCAAGCCAACGCTTTAGTTGAGTTAGAATATTCAATGTTGTGTGATACCGAGATTCCTTCTCGATGATCGACCTGATACTACGTGATACTAGGATATTATTCAATAGCTTAGAAGGGACCTTACTGATGCTATGTGGTGATGGTACCTCCTCTCAATAGGCTAGTATCTGATGATGTGTGATACCAGTGTTGCATTCAAATAATTCACAACTGAGTCAGTGTGTCATTAAAGTTAGAGACTCTTTTGAGGTGTACTCATGGTGAGGCCCTTAGCAAAGGATTAAAGGAAGTGTGAGACCCCTACTTTAGTGATAGAGTAGTAAAGCCTTAAATGAGTAGCACTTGATTTAGGTCATGCATGTCCCTACTGCTTAGTACCATATCTTCAACATGTTTTTGTTTATGAAATTCTTATGTTGCTCTAAATTAGTGATTATACTGTTGGGTTTTATAAGCTCAACCTTCGGATGTTTTTCATTGGCAGGTCAGTAGCTTGAGAAGTTCGTGAAGCACCATCGCATCATGATTTCCAACATTTCCTTTAGAGTATTGTATTGTAGTTTAGAGGCCATGTCTATTCACACGACCTTACTTATGTATTTAGATTTATTAGAAATAGTTGTATTATTTTTTTATTTTAAATTACATGTCATGAATCTTTGATTTTATAAATGTTTTCATAAAGGTGATCTATGTTTTAATAATGATACAATTCAACATGTTTGAAAAGGAAATGAATAAGTTTTAAAAAAATTAGGGGTTGCCTCAATAACTCAATGTGACACTCTAGTCTAGGGACTCGACAGGTTGAGAATGCCATGACAATATCTATTGGCGTTATCAGGTCCAGAGATCCCATCAGTTTAATATAATCACGACAATTCCATTCATTATTCGCACTAACATTTACCCTCTCGACCGAGCACTACTCCTTTTAGTCGATTGAAATCCTAGCCTTGTTTAAAGGTGGATTAGGAATAGTTACTATCTAAAACCCATTGCTTATATTGATCCTCTTTAGTTTCTCTCGAACACTAAAGATTAGCTACTTAGTTTCTCTCGAGCACTAAATATTTTCCTAAGGAATGGCTACTCTATTATCTCCTACAACCTTAAGACATTAAGCACTATAAACAAAACAAATAAAATCATAGAAAAATAACAATCATCCATTGAACTAAAACTTAAACATC